TTTGCCATCTTACTTTGCAGTGTTCCTCTATTCTGACTCAGTACATGACCATGTAACTTGCTTTGTCCTAGGAGGAAGTAGAAGTGGCAGTGTGCTAATACAAAACTAAGCCTCAGAATGTCTGATATATTTGCTTTTTGTGTTGGCTTTTTTTTTTTTTTTTTTTTTTTTTGCTTTTTCATTTTTGCACTTTAGCCTGCTGGGAACTGGGAAGCAGAAGGAATATAGCCAAGCCATCAAGATCATCCAAACTGAGGCCAGCATCAAGGAGCTAGACGCCTATAAATGCAGATATATGAGCAAGTTCTGCTAAGATCAGTAGGGCTCCCAACTGACTACTCCAGACATAATTAGAACTTACTGCTGTGTACTACTGTAATACGTTTTGTGGTTGTTTATTACGCAGCATTATCATAGTAATAGACATGGGGTACAAGGGAAGAAAAAATTATGATGTGTGTGGATGCACCCTTGGTCTATAAAGGTATGAAGATACCTAGATGAGTAATATAAGGATCAGAGTATTGGTAACATTGAGGAGAGAGAGAGGATTGGTGTCTGGAACAAGGCTTATGAAGAGCTGCTCAAGTGGCTGAAAAAGTTATATTTCTTAAATTGGGTGGTGCTTACAAGGGTGGTAGTCATTCATTTAGCTACACATTTTTAAATGTATATTTTCTCTACTTATTTTATTTTATAGTGAAAAGGTTAAAATAATTTTTTTAAATTACACAATTCAAGGCTTTAGCTTTATAGCAGGAGAAATACATATCCTAGAGAGGTTAAGAGGAACAAATGGAAGTTAGCAACAGAACAAGGATTAGCATCCAGACCAAACATTATGTGAAAAATGAGAAAAATAATATCAATAAAAGGAAGTGACATTTTCATAGAGAAGGATACAGGGTTGGATGTAGTGGCTGATATTTGTAATCTCAGCATTTCGGGAGGTTGAGGTGGGAGGATCACTTGAGGCCAAGAGTTTGAGACTAGCCTGGGCCACATAGTGAGACCCTGTCTCTACAAAAAAAATTTTTTTAAAGTAGCTGGGTGTGGTGGCATGCAACTGTAGTCTTAGCTACTTGGGTGGCTAAAACATGAAGATTGCTTGAACACAGGAATTTGAGGTTGTAGTAGGCTGTGATCATGCCACTGCACTTCAGCCTGGGCAAACAGAACAACATCTTACGTCTACGGAAAGACAGAGAGAAGGATACAGAAATAATGAGATATGGAAAATTGCAGACTACAGGTGTTAAAATGTTTTTTATCAGGGGAGCATATGAAATCCTTTTCTGAAATTTTCAAGAAAATCATGTTTTTGAAATGATAGAAGGTATCCCTTTTATCATCTTGAGAGTTTCTATTAGGAAATGGTTGTTAAGCATCACAATTCTGTGTCTCCCTATCTAAACACTTTCTATACTCACCAAGTAGATAGATTCACATGATCCATGTATGCAGAATCTTATTGACAGAAATGGACTTTGACCTAGAAAATTTTCCATCTTCTTTGCCCAGGCTTCCAGGATCTGGACACCATGAATGATTCTTTTAGCCTTAGATGATGTATTCAGAAACCCCTCTTTTACATTATAAATACATGGCTCATCTTAGAAAAATCCTTATAGTAAGCCTAGATTCTACCAGAACATGTATATCTTATTTGCTAACTGCAAATTGTACACTAGACAGTTGTTACCAGTGGTGTTCTCAAGTCTGTCTAGTGAGCACCTCAAATACATTTTATGAACAAGTATCAGAAGTTACTGCACAAAATTGCAGAGCCATTTGGTTCTGCAATCTTTAAGATTCCTCTTTGGAAGAATCAAATATTTTACTTAAATTCTCCCCTACCTTCTATTCCCTTTCCATATATTTTTATATTTTGTTATTATCAGGGTTGAATGATATCAATCAGGAGTATCTACTAAAATTATTAGTGATCCTAAATAATTAGTGTGAATATACAAATTCAGAAGGTTCAATTGGTATTTTTACAGTTTACCATGACTCAGGTTAAACATCACCAGGTGTGGACTCTTAGAGTCTATGTAGCTGGTCCATTTGCCCTATGTTAAAATGAAGGAAACAACTGGTACCCCCAAAATGTGGAAGGACTTGCCTAAGCTTGTTAGGGGCTCATCCAGACCTGGAAAGAAGCTACCTTATGATAGGCCAGTCCTCTTCAATTTACTAGTCAGGCTCTCATTAACTTTGAGAGAGAAGATGAGAAAATTTATCTTTACAATTAAAATGGTGTCTTAATAAAAACAGTGTGTTTCCAGAATTTCCCTTAGGGGAGGTTGGGGAGAGAATATGGCAACGGAGGTGGCTTAGGTGCTTGTTTTGAAATTGCACTTGCAACGTAAGATAAGGTTTTTACTTAGATTGGGGGTGGAGTGGGGTGGAGTAGCAAAATACCTCTTGGCTTCTGTACTGATTAAGACTAATTATTATTATTATTATTATTATTATTATTATTATTATTACAGGGTCTTACTGTGTTTCCCAAGCTGAGCGCAGTGGCACAATCAGGGCTCACTGCAGCCTCAAACTCCCGGGCTCAAGCAATTCTTCTACCTCAACCACCCGAGAAGCTGGGACTACAGGTGTACACCATCACACCCAGCTAATATTTTTATTTTTTTTGCAGAGACAATGTCTCACTATGTTGTCCAGGCTGGTCTCGAACTCCTAGACTCAAGCAGTCCTCCTGCCTCAACCTCCCAAAGTGCTGGGATTTTAGGCATGAGTCACCATGCCCGACCAAGAGTAATTATTTTTGGAACCTGTTTTAAAATGTGTTAGCATTCTCAATAATCTTTAGAATAGTTGTATAGACTATACATGAAGATTCAAAACATTTCTGAAAATATTCTATTTTTAGCCAGTTTGCATTTAAGTACTTTAAAAAGGGGGCATTTCATCACAGACAATGCTAGGCATATTTACTTTACTATATCCATGGCTCTATGTTTTTTAACACTGTGTAATTTACTCTTTTCTAATAGTATAGAAGGAGGTTATGACTCTTAAGTAGGCAATTTGAGAAAAGAAAATATCTAAATGCTGCTCTTTAGGGATAAACTGATAATAACACCAAAGTGTTATTAAAGAAACCCAAAGAAGTTACATATATACCTGCTTTTTTTCCTTTTCTTTCTTTCTTTTTTTCGTTTCTTTTCCCTTCCTTCCTTCCTTCCTTCCTTCCTTCCTTCCTTCCTTTCTTTTCTTTTCTTTTCTTTTCTTTTCTTTTCTTTTCTTTTCTTTTCTTTTCTTTCTTTTCTTTTCCTTTTCCCTCCCTTCCTCCCTCCCTCCCTCCCTTCTCTTCCTCTCCTTCTCTTCCTTCCTTCCTTCTCTTCCTCTCTTTCCTTCTCTTCCTTCCTTTCCTTTCCTTCTTTCTTCTTCTTTTCTTTCTTTCTTTCTTTCTTTCTTTCTTTCTTTCTTTCAGTGGCAGGATCTTGGCTCACTGCAACCTCTGCCTCCCAGGTTCAAGCAATTCTCCAGCTTCAGCCTCCCTAGTAGCTGGGATTACAGGTGCGCACCACCATGCCTGGCTAATTTTTGTATTTTTAGTAGAGACAGCGTTTCACCATGTTGGCCAGGCTGGTCTCAAACTCCTGACTTCGTGATCTGCCTGCCTTGGCCTCCCAAACTGTTGGAATTACAGGTGTGAGCCACTGTGCCCGGCCCCATGTACACTTGTTTTAAATCAACATTTCTCTGTGTGGATAAGATGGAAATTCAATGTGTATTCTCTGTGAAGCACACAAAAGGACAAGTCTTCAGTTTAAAGGATCTAATAGCCCTCAAGTCTCTTGAGAATCTAGATTAATGGAGGTTACTTAGAAAATTGCAGAATATAGGAAATCCAGCTAGTGAACCTGTAACACTTGGATCCAAAAGCTAAAATCCTATCTCTTGAGGAAAAGCAAACAAAGACAAATATCCACAGATGTAATAAAATATCAATGACATAAGTTTTTCCTGTTGTGTTTTTGGCTTCACAAATACAGTATGGGTTTATATATCTATCAATTATATAAACTTAAAGTATAGATTATGGAAAAAACCTACGTTAATTACCACCATCCAACAGTTTCCATATTTCTGTATAATCCTGCTACCTATAAGCATCAACATGCAAAGCTGGCTTCCACCTGTGGAAAGTCATCCCTGAGAGTCATTATTTTCCTTTTAACATTGAAATCATACACTTCGACCTAACTGACGAATTAAAACACTGTCAGAGCAATCGTTGAAATTTTATAAGGTAAACTTCAGTTCTTTCTTAGGAAGCTCAGGAATTCTCATGTAGCCTCCATTTAGAGAAGAAGGAATCCAAGGTGCAGGAAGCGGAATGAGGTACCACACATCACACAGCAATAAGTGGAAGGATTTTGATGAGGGTCCGTGCTTCTCTGAGTAAGTTGAGGCTGAAGAATTGAGGAGTCTCTGACAGCCTCAATTAACTCACTTCTTTGAATTCTACTGATGGAGATTGTTCTGGGAATATCTGAGATAAAATTTATCTTTGCAATAACTTATTTTTAAGGCAAATTTCATGAACAAACTAACAGTAAGTACAAGATTTTGGAGACTAACATAATGGGTGATTATTATGGCTACTTAAGCGAACAAACTTTTAAGATAGAACAACTATTTTGCATATAGATATTAAATCAAGTGTTTTCCATTCAATTCCTAATGAGGAAGCTTTCCTACTGGCCATAGCGGATGCCTAATGTCACTTATTTATTTATTTTTATTTATTATACTTTAAGTTCTAGGGTACATGTGCATAACGTGCAGGTTTGTTACATATGTATACTTGTGCCATGTTGCTGTGCTGCACCCATCAACTCCTCAGCACCCATCAACTCGTCATTTACATCAGGTATAACTCCCAGTGCAATCCCTCCCCCCGCCCCCTCCCCATGATAGGCCCCGGTGTGTCATGTTCCCCTTCCTGAGTCCAAGTGATCTCATTGTTCAGTTCCCACCTATGAGTGAGAACATGCGGTGTTTGGTTTTCTGTTCTTGCGAAAACTGTTACTTTGTTACTCAACATGGCGGCAGGGGGCATGGGGGGGTGTCATGGGACTGCCTGCTTTCAGAAAGCTCAGCTTTTTGTATTTCATGTAACAGCAAAATTTTACAGGACTTGGAAGTTCATATAATATTTATATTGTGCCAAGTAGGGCTCTTAATAAGCAATTACTGTACACAAACACCTTCATTTAAAAAAAATGAGAATTTTAGATGAGAGTCCTGTGTATCATTTCTTAAAGAAAATCTACAAGGAGTCAAAGGAGTTTCTCTAATTGGCCAACACAGAACAGCTGATGAATAAGTATATTTATAAGGAGAAACTGGCTGAAAAATAAAATACCAGTGCTTTGCGAAAGCAATGATGGAGGTGAGCAAATCCTAATCTTAAATGAGACATAAAAAGGACCGCAAATCAATTCAATCATTTAATTAGAGATAACTCTCAGAAGAAAAAGGGTTAATTTTTTCAAAATAAATGGTTCAATTTATGATAAGCCCTAGAGGCTTTATGCTAATTACAAGTTATTTTAAGGCATGCGTTTGTAAGCACAGTTTATAGTTACCTCTGTGAGAGCTGTTTGGATCATGAGAGCTCTACTTTATGCCTTGTTTTAGCTGCTTGAAATGAGATTTTGTTGTCAGTTGCAGGAACACTAATATAAAAAGCAGAATCTGTGTGTTTTGTTGGTACACATAGATCATAACTGTGGGCCATGAGAAATGTGCAGCTGTTCTTTCATTACACTCGGAAGGAAAATGTTTTGCTGTGTTACAAGTCTGTGTGCTTATACCTTCGTGACTTGCTCCTTTCAGAATAATTTCCCCAGAGTCAAATCCCAGCCAAGTGCAGCCTTTACATATTGCGGTGGGCATAAATGCTAGCTCGAGGCTTTTTCTGAAGTTGTGAAAGGTTGACAGTACTTTACTGGTTGACTCAAGTAAGAAATTATGGAGGTTTTCATATCAGAACAGCTGCACTTAAATTTTCCATCCAAAACACTTACCAATTTATTCAAAATTAGGGGATAATTGAAAAGCAGTTTCATAAGATTCTGGCTTTCTAAAAGAAAATATAAAATTGTTTTAAAACATGCAAATTATATTGTTAGTTACTGAGTGTTTTCTTCTCTCATAGTAGCAGTTGTGCATTCTGTCTATGCCTGCTTGGATATTTATGTTGAGTAACTGTATTTGTTTTGTTTTCAGTTATAAAATGTTCTTTTACTTGAGTAAGAGCAAATTCTTCCCTTATTTATTTTTCCAGAGATGTCATGCTCATTAGGTATGCATTTGGGTGTAACTACAACAAAACAAAATGGATTTTTTATAAATAAAATTTACATAGCTGAAAAGAGCACATTTTATCTTCAAGATAAACATTGCCATCTTTTTTTCTGATTGTTGCTCTGTAATTCTTCTGAACAACAAAATGAAAATAAGTCAAAATGAGAAACCAATTCTGTCTCTTTATAAAATGTCAAATATGTATGTCAAATTCCCTAAGAACTGTAAATGACTCTTCTTAGTATTTTTAAAAATCCCAGATGTAATTACATTAAGTAATCTGGTTTCCAAAGGAGTTGGAATAATTAAAAAGCACCTGCTGATTTTCTTCAGTAGACTAAAAAGTATTTTAATAATACACAAATAGCAGAAACTGAAAAAAGAAAAGACTTAAATAGAAGGATCATTTTAACTAACCATTTTATGAATTTTCAAGTTTCAAGCTTATGGTGTTTATACCAAGACATGCTACCTATTAGTTACAGGTAGATGACATTAGTAAGAAATCAGTTATACTGTTCGGCTTTTAAAATTTAACTCAATTCTAAAAGCTTTCCTCTCTCCTTACATGGCTGTTTCATAACCATATGGGAGACATGAACTCCAGTTGACTCTGGATTACCTATGGAATTGGGGTGAGTGTTAGTATGGATAAATGAAATCCATGGATAATCTTAAGACATTTTAGCTTTCATCTCCCCTGCCTCCAAATTATTTCAACCACTGAGATGCAGCAAAATGTACTATGTCCTTTTTAATTTTTTTCCTCTTACGTTTCCTAGTTTTTTGATTACTTTAACAGAAGTTTAGGGAAAACTGAGTGGTCTGTGTGTAGGCATAAGGCAAAAGGCATTAAATTTAGATCCTCATCCTTAAATACGCGTGGCTGTATGAGCTGTGCTCTTCTCTTGCAAACCATTTTTTTTTCTTGCCCCTGACAAATTGTAACCTGCTTTCTCCGGTGAAAGTGGTTCTGATCCTTTTCCATCCCTAATAACTGCTTGGAACCTGACTAAGATAAAGGGTCCTGCTGCTGCAGACGCCAGCTTACAGGGCACAATCAGGGCTAGCATTGATTGGCAATGGTTCATTACCCATGGGGACAGCTGCCCTGTTTATCATCCTAACCTTTTTTGGACCCAGTGTTTTTTGTTTTTTCACTCACTCAGTGGTAGAGCTGAGGCTGGAGGAGGCTGTGCTTTGGTTCATCTTACCAGCTGGAAAGAATGAAAACATGACCAAACACCTGAAAACTTGCCACCTGGCCACACAATGACTTTAATGAGACTGGCTCTCATCTCCCTCTGGGACTACAATCATAACAAGACAATATTTGTTAGTTTTAAATGCAATAATCAGTCCTTTTGAAGGAAAACACTCTATGTAGGGTTAGGGGTGGCTGGATGGCTAAAAACAAACTGTTTTTTTTTTTTTTTTTTTAAATCAACTGCTGCTAAAAACCAATGTGTTCATTGTTTTTTTAAAGTCAGAACTATGATGTAAGTAGATATTGCTTTTATTTCTTTTGAAAAAGAAGGGGCTGATTCAAATCAAGAATCTCTCAGTTTATTTCTTTGTAATAATTTATACATTTATAAATTCATTCATTTCTGTATTCTTACTGTGAAGAATTATAATTTATCTGGCTGTAGAGAAAAATAAGGACTTGGGTATCCAAGATTTAAACCTTCAGTATCTAAACACCAGGAGGTGCTCTAAGATAACATGAAAGAACACATTTCCCGGAGAATTAAGGATTCTAGTTACATGAAATTTACTAACAAAACTGTTTGCTCTGAGAGGCCCTAAATGTTCAGATTCTAAGGTATGCAGTGTAGTAGACCATCTTCTGGATCTAAAAGACTCTTTCAAAGGAGCCCTGTCAAGATTTCAGGGACATTAGTAAAAATTTGCAGAGAGATGTTTTCTACATGCCTATGACTTGGAACGATTTGTGGAAGGACAGTAAACAAAGAATGTTAATACTGAGTTTGTTTTGTGTTACACAGTTTAAAATGCAATGAGAAAGCCAAATGAGACTGTAAGATGAAATTCTGGAGCTGGTGTATTACTTCGTGCATGGGTAAGTACTGTATTTGTTCTTCCAAACCAGATATCAGGTAAAATTATGAAGACAACCTTTTCAGATATTATATAGAGAGAAATTAAAGATAAATTTCTTTGTATTTTTCTGGATAACCAATAGGATCCTATCCTGGGGAAAGCATTCTAATAAGTAATTTAAAAAAATAAGCTTCATTGAGTTACAATTTACATAAAACAAAATTAATACAATGAATTTTACAATTCGAAATGCATAATTTGCTGAATTTTGGCAAATGTGGATAGTCATGTAACTACCACAAACGTCATGATATGGAACATTTCTATCATCCAAAAAGAGTTCATCCATGTTCCACGTTAATTAATGTCATTGCTCCACACCTTGGACCCTGGTAACTAATGATTTGTTTTCTATTGCTATAATTTTGCCTTTTCTGGAATTTTATATTCATTTTTTTGTGGCCAGCTTTTTAAACTTTTCATACTGCTTTTGAGATTCATCTATGTTGTGTGTATTAAAAGCTTATTCCTTTTTATGACAAAGTATTATTCCATTGTATGGATGCATCGCAATGTGATTATACATTCACAACTTGATGAATATTTGAGTTTTTTCCCAATTTTTTGATATTATGAATAAAGTTGCAATGAAGATCTACATGCAAGTCTTTGTATAGATAAGAGCTTTTCCTTTTCTCTTGGGAAAATACCTGGGAATGGGATGACTAGATCATATAGTGGGTATATTTTTAACTTTTTCAAGATACTATTATAGTATTTTTCAGAGCGTTTGTACCGTCTTACATTACTGCCATTAGGCTATGGAAGTTCCAAATTCTCTGCACCTCACCAACACTTGGTATGGTCAGTCTTTTTAATTTTAGCTATTCATAGTGGTTATAACTTGCATTTCCCTAAAGATACACGGAGCATCTTTTGTATGTGTTTGTTTTACATGCATACATTTTCTTTGAAGGAGTTTCATTCAAATATTTTGCCAAATTTTAATTGAGCTGTGTTTTCATATTATTGAAATTTGGGGATTCTTTATATATAAAAATACAAATGCCTTATCCAATGTAGGCTTTGCATATATTTTCTTCTAGTTCATGGCTTGTCTTCTAATTCATTTTTTTTAAAGAACGTAAGTTTTTAGTTTTGACGACATCTTCTTTATCATTGTCTTTAATGAATCATGCTTTCTATGTTGTTGCTAAGAAATCTTGGCCTGATCCAAGGTTACAGATGTTTTCTCTGAAGTTTTTCTCTAGAGGTTTTATAATTTTAGTTTTTACTTTAAGCCTATTGTTATTTGTGTTAATGTAATATATGGTGTAAGAAAGGATTAAAACTCATTTTCTTGCATATTAATATCAAATGTTTTCAGCATCATTTGTTAAAAAAGACTATAGTTTCCTCACTGAATTGCTTTTGCACATTTGTAATAAAAACCAGTTGTCCATATGTGTGTGCATTTATTTCTGGACACTGCAGTTAATCTAATGACCTATTTCTCCCATCCAAGTATTAGCCAGGCCTGACTCTGCTTAGCTTCTGGGATCACATGAGAGCAAGTACATTTAGGGTGATATGGCTGTAGACTACTGACCTATTTCTTTATCTTTACACCAGTACCACTCTGTCTTGATTCCTGTAGCTTGGGCCAACTACATAATTTTTGGGATCTAGGATAAAATTAAAATATGGGTTCCTTTGTTAAAAGTTAAGAATGTCAAGACAGTGACAAAGACCATTAAACCAAGCACAGAGCTCTTCTGACAGTGGGACCTTGTGCAACTACACAGGCTGCATGCCCATGAAGCCAGCCCTGATCATAGCATTATAATAAATCCTGAAATAGAAATCAGGCAGGGTTAGCATTTCCACTTTATTCTTCCTTTTCAAAGTTATTTTGACTAATCCAGGATTTTTGTATTTCCATATGAATTTTAGAGCTAGTCTATTTCTTTTCTTTTCTTTTTTTTTTTTTAAAAACTAGTGGAATTTTTATTAGGATTGCAGTAAATGTATAGTTCAACTTGAGAGGGATAGATTTCTTTACAATATTGTGTCATCAGACCAATGTAGGGCTATGTGAGTTATTTATCTTTTTTGAGTGAGTTTTGTAGTTGGTGTCTTTCAAGAAACTGGGCCATGTCATCAATGTTGTCAAATTTCTTGGCATAAAGTAGTGTCCTTCCTTATTTTTTCATATATGTAGAATCTCTGTAAATAGCACACTCTCATTAGTGATATTGGTGATTTGTATATTCTCTTTTCTTGATGAATTTGACTAGAGTTTTATTAATGTTATTGATTTTCTCATAGAATCATTATTGGTTTCACGATTTTTAAAATTTAATTGATTTCTGCTCTTATTTCCTACTTACTTTTTATTTAATTTTCTCTTCTTTTCCTAGTTTCTTGAAGTGGAAACTGAGGTTGATTTGAATCCTTTCTTATTTTCTTTTTCTTTTCTTTCTTTTTTTTTTTTTTTTTATGACGGAGTCTCGCTCTGTCACCCAGGCTGGAGTGCGGTGGTGCGATCTCAGCTCACTGCAAGCTCTGCCTCCTGGGGATTTGAACTCTTTCTTATTTTCTAATATGGATGTTTAGTGCTACAGTTTCTCCACTAGTTATTGTTGTAGTGGCAGCTACAAATTCTGATGGATTGTGTCTGCATTTTTATTTCATTAAAATAGTTTCTAATTTTTAAATTTCTTCTTTAATCTATAGGTTATTTAGAAGTGTGTTATTTAGTCTCTATTTCAGGATTTTCCAAAGTTTTTTCCATTATTTATTTCTAATTTAATTCTATGTTGCTCAGAAAACATTTATATAACTTAAATTCTTTTAATCTTATGGGGACTTGTTTTATTACCAAGACTCTGGTTTATTTTGGTAAATACTCCATATACACTTGAGAAGAATATACATTCTGCTGTTCTTGTGTGGAGTGTTTTATCAATTTCATTTTGGGCAAGCTGGTTAATGTAGGTCAATGTTGGTCAAAACTTGTATGTCTTCACTGATATTCCAGCTACTTTTCAACCTGCTTTTGAGAGAAGGATACTGAAATATCCAACTGTAATTATGGATTTGTCTGCTTCTTATAATTCTATCAGTTTTTTCCTTACATATTTTGAAGTTGTGTTACTATGTGCAAAACTTTAGCATTGTTATGTCTCCTGATATTTGTTGAACTCTTTAACAATATGTGATGACTTCCTCTATTGTCAGTAATATTCTTTGCTCTAAAATATACTTTGTCTTATATTCATTCCGGTTTTTCTTTGATTTGTATTAGAATGGTATATATTTTTTCCATCACTTTACTTTTAACCTGTTTGTGTTTTACATTTAAGATATGTTTCCTGTGGGCTGCATATAGTTGTGCCTTGTTTTTAAATCCAATTTGACAATTTATTTTAATTGCGGATGTTTAGACCACTTACATTTAAAGTGATTATTAATACAGTTAAGTTTCAGTCTTTTTCCTTATCATTTGTTTTCTGGTCCTCTGTACTTTGTTTACCCTTTGCAAATTTCCTGTCTTCTTTGGGATTAATTTAACATTTCTTATGATTTTGTTTCATTTTCTTTGCAAGTTTACTAGCTATAACTTTTTGTTTTATTGTTATCAGTGGTTGCTTTAGAGTTTATTTTATACATATTCAAGATATCACAGTCTACCTTCAAGTGGTATTATATCACTAAATGTGTAGTATAAGAACCTTACAATAGTATTATTTGTATTTCTTTCCTTTTATTCTTTATATTATTGATGTCATGTATTTTATTATACATATGTTATAGGTATTATAATTCATTGTTATTATTTTTGTTTAAATAGTAAATTATCTTTTGTATTTTTTTTTTTTTTTAATTTTGAGACAGAGTCTTGCTGTGTTGCCCAGGCTGGGGTACAGTGACATGATCTCAGCTCACTACACACCTGGCCTCCCAGGTTCAGGCGATTCTTGTGCCTCAGCCTCTCAAGTAGCTGGGATTATAGGTATGCACCACCACACGTGACTAATTTTTATATTTTTAGTAGAGATGGGGTTTTGCCATGTTGACCAGGCTGATCTCAAACTCCTGGTTTCAAGTGATCTGCCTGCCTTGGCCTCCCAAAGTGCTGCAATTACAGATGTCGCTGTGCCTGGCTAGTCAATTATCTTTTAAATATATTTAAATGAGAAAAATATCTCATACATTTACCCAGACAGTTACCGTTTCAAATACTCTTTCTTTAAAATAGATTCATATTTCCATCTGGCATTATTTTTCTTTTACCTGAAGGACTTCCTTTAATTTAAGGAATGTTTAAATATGTTTAACATATCTGTACTGTGGGTTTGCTGGTGATAAATTTTCTGTGCTTTTCTATAAATCTAAAAAATCATTATTTGTCTTTATTTTTAAAATTTATTTTTCTGTGTATAGAATTCTAGGTTGGCAATTTGATGTTTATTCATTCAGTACTTTACCAGCACTTCACTGGCATTACTCACTATAAGAAATTTGCTATTATTATTCTTTTTCCTATTTATGTATCATGCTATTTTATTCTGATGTGTTAAAACTTTCTCTTTATTATTAGTTTTGATAAATTTAATTGTGATGTGCCTTCGTGTAGTTTTCTTCATGTTTTTTGTCCTTATAGCCACTGAGCTTCTTGAATCTGTGGAATTATAATTTTCATTAAGTTCAGAAAAATTTTAGCCATTTTTTTTTGTATCATGCCCTTCTTCTTTACTCTTTTTGAGAATTCAATTACATATATATGAGCTATTTGAAGTTGTCCCACAGGACAATACTATTCTTTTTATCCATTTCTTTCTCTGTGTCTTTCATTTTGGATAGTTTCTACTGTGATGTATTTAAGTTCATTAATCTTTTCTTCTGCATTGTCAAATTTGTTGTGAATCTCAATGAATGTTGATTTTATCTTAGACACTCTATTTTCATCTAGAAATTTTATTGGGATTATTTTTATATCTTCCATAGTTTTGACTA